TTAATTTATAAAAAAAAATGTATGCATTTTAAGTTTCTCTTTAATATGTATTGGTTGAAAAAATTCTCCCTATAGCTCGTAAAGCAGTGGAAAGGGAGAAAAAATCTGTACTGAAGCAGTATTTCTCTGGTGGAAAATCAAGTCAGGGTTGTTTGTTAGATGCTTACGGGAAATTCTAGTATGCCAGGCTTCTGAAATTGGGGGTGTCTTTAAACTCAAGCTCTTTATTCTGGGGGAAAAATGTGGGATATATATGTACAATACCGCTATTCTTTAATATTTTTAATTTTTTGACACGTATCCGCGTGATTTTACCACGCCCCCTCCTCCTCCCCCCCCCCCCCCCCCCCCCCCCCCCCCCCCGCCAAAAAACAAAAAACAAAAAAAAAAAATTAGGAGGGGCGTATAAAATATTCGGATTTTTATTGAAACCGAGAGATTTAAGTATAAATACATGTATATCATTAATGCACAGAGATTTTATATGAGCGACATGTATATTAAATATGAATAATAAAGGCATTTATAAATCCAGCAATCTATCGACTTTAGTTTGATTTCGCCAAGTAATGCACATTTACCTTGTCCTGGAGTAATATTTAGTGGGCCGCATTTCATTTCCGGAATTTTCCAAAAAAAAAAAAAAAAAAAGTTTTCATCTCCGACATTTGTCAAATTCATGTCAGTATTTTTTCGGCAATGAAAAAAAAATCATACTTCCGTCATAAATAATATTATATAATACATATATACAATACCCTGTTAAAAATCTATTTCCATCTTTGTTATATATGTTAACCTTAAAGTGTCATAAAGTTATCTTTTAAAAAATCCAAAAATGTGAAGAAAAAAAATAATATCGGAAATGAAAATAAAAATGTCGAATTCCGAAATAATAACAAAAATTGTCGGAAAATGCAATGCAAAATTCAGGAAATGAAATGCAGAGATCTAGTAGATACAATTATTAGCCTTTAAATATCCGGTAGGTAAGAAACAGTGTTAACTTATAAAAACACAGGGGATATGGTACTTTAGGTTTTCTCAAACGACACAATCAAGACTAATCCCTAACTGCCCTATCCGCAGGCATGTTGTTTTTACAATAACGGGTGTAGGGTAGTACACCGTGACATAAGCCCCCGTCACAGTGACCCCCACCTATTGACAACAATATTAAACGTAAAGAATGACAGATTTTATTAATAATATAAAGAAATGTATTTTGAATGATGTGAATTTTTTTTTTTGCGAGTGGAAGTCGGACGTTTATCATGTACTTATTGGAAAGAGAGTGTAACTTAATGATTTGTGTTGGACTTACGAACATTCATCTGTTCATTGCATACTGATTAATCTGCCAGTAAACAGGCGGTGAAGGTAAATGTATGTACATTTGTATTCTTAATACTTTTTTAAATGACAATGTTGATACCAGTGTATTTAAACGACAAAATAAGCATGTCCCATCTTCCCGACAGGAAACTCGATCAATAAATCATATACATTTCTTTAATAAATATAATTATTTATGTATTAATTTCTTACTTATTTTCTTACTTATTGTTTACTACATTCTCTTGGAGGAAACACTAGCTATTAATACGACTTTACATCCTCAATTAATTTTAAAACAATAGTTTTTAAATTAATATCGAATGAACACAGGCATACAATTTGTATAATAGGCCGAGGGCGGACCTTTTCTTATAGAGCCAGGCGGACCTAATATGTTATCGTATTTGGTCCGGCCGGACCTTTAAACGAGGCGGACCAAATATTATGCGACACCGGCAATTGCTCTTTGAGCAATAAACCCGGCTAATAATGGTTTGGCCGGGTTTTAAAACTCGACAGGTTCCGCATCGTGGGTCCTCGCACTAAGAAACCATTGGTTTCTCGGGTTCGATGTAAATGTGGCTGTGGTAATAAACATGCACAATATAATCTGAAAAAAGCTGACAAATGATGTCACTGAATGAAACACAGTCAAGAGTCGTATGAACGGCACTTAAATTCAAAATACATATAACTGCTGAATTTAGTATCCCAAATCAAAACATCTTGATGAACACATGGCTGAAATGAATGCACAGGGTGTCCTTGACTATATTACTAATAGCCTTCTGCAATAAGCAGATAACACCAGGACGGAGAGATTAAATCTACTCCATAAAATATACAAAAAGTAAAAGATGCTGCAAATTACCCTTATTTCCCAAGGAAGGCCTATTACATTTCAAAAAGGCACTTACTAAAATGTAATCATTTTTATTGAGTATAATTTTAATCATTTGTTGTGCATGCAAAACTTGAGCACAAATTCTATGGATACCTCAGATTTCACATTGAAGAATGAACTTCTGCGACCACACAACGAGAACTTGCTGGTCAGCTGTGATGTAACATGTGCAATTGGAGAAGCTTATGGCTGCTGTTGATACGGCTTTTAGGGAAATTCTCAGTCTAAGCCGAACCCACAGCAGACCAAATTATTTACTCAGATTTAATATATTTCAATTTGCAAATATATACAAACAAATAATTGAAAATGCGATGGGTTGTAAGTCAGGACAGGAACCCCATTCTGTATGCGATATTCGCTAATAAAATCGATGTATAAAATTATTAAAATACCTGCATATTCTAAGAAATATAAGGATTGCAATACAATTCTTCAAGAATAACCTACTGTGTCATTAAACACATTGATAATCTGAGTGATATGCTCCTCTCCGAACAAATTCAATAATCTGCATAACAGATGTGCAAATAGGCTCCTGATGATGGCGGATCTGCAGCTAATTAATATACAATGTACTATCAAAATCTTAAACCTCGTATATATCACACCGCCGAAACACTATAGTAGTGTCGAGTCAAGTTATTTGAGGTACGTGGCTGATGAGAGTCACTTTCTTTGAAACAAATTTCGTCTGGTCTTATGACCATCAGCTTGACGTACATTTCACAAATCAAGAAACGAGTCAAATCAATTAACCAAAGTCAGTTTGTGGCGCGCCGAAATGGCATAAAATGTTTGGAAGACAAAAGGTGAGGTAAAAGAAACAGAAAACACGAAAGGCAAAGATAAAGGTCTTAATAGAAGTCAAGGATCTTAAAAACATAGAGCTGAAAATCTTAAAAGAGTGAGAGAGTTGACCCAAAGGAAAAGAAGATTACATAGCTGGAGACCCAAAGAGCTACAGGAAAACGTGGCACCTTATGAAAACCGTTCAAGAAAGTATTGATTAAAAGCATTGCTCTATAGTAACCCTAAATCAGATTAAAAAATACTTCGGATGTTATTCTTGAATTTTTGGATGAAATATATAGAGAATAATACATACCCTTTTCCATATCACATCCTGTATCAGCCCGAGACACCGATATCAGCCATAGGGCCGAAGGCCCGAGGGCTGATATTGGTTGAGGGCTGATACAGGATGTAATGTGGAAAAGGGTATGTTTTATTATGTTTATTACATACTTAGTAATAAAATACAGTACACATTAAGTTGAGAAGAAAATAAGTAAATATTCAGGCACATAATTCTTACATGTGTACACATGGTCTAACGTCTCATAGGGTTTGGGTTTGTTTCTACATGTACTTCTATTTCAAATGTGCCCGAGCCGTAATTTGAAAATAGCCTATAATTTGTCAATTAGATTACCCATTTCATTCAAAAAGTTAAAATTAAGAGAATATGTAACCTCCAAAATATGTGTATGATCACAAGTACTGTTTTTTGAGTTTTTTTTTAAGGTTTAATTTTCTAGGGGTGTGATATTGATCCGTATCAGCCCCGCAAATCCATATCAGCCCTGCAGGGCTGATATCACTACTGTGACGTCAGGCATATCGCATATGCAAAAATCCTGTATTTATTACTAGGTATGTAATAAATGGAGATAACAAACAGTATTCAAGCTCAAATGTCCATAAAACAATACAGAATAGGAGCAGAGCAAATACTAGCACTTCCTTGAACAGTTTTCATTTGGTGCCACGTTTTCCTGTACATAGCTCTTAGTATAGGAATTTTTAAAGGGATATTTGATTTTTTCAAAAACCCAAACAATATAGATTCATTATTTATAAAAATTGGAATCAGAAGAATATATAACCTCGTACACTCGTCTGATTCTCCCTTTAATGGTAGATTTGTTTGATGGGTTGATTGTAGGCCAAAGGATAATAATTTTGGTTTTATTGAACCTCTATTTGGGAATTGAATACCCAGCAGTGTTTTGTTTAACGTCCATGCAAGAATTTTTATTTTTACTCATATTGAGATGCCACCATTTTCCGATGGAGGAATGTAATTTTAGTCCTTCACTGTTGAATGAATGTTGCAGGTATATTATTGTTGTGTGTAAATGTATAAACAGTATGTGTAAAAAAATCTCAAAACAGCAAAACCATGATTTATCATATTTATATGGAAGCATCCTCAGGTAGTTTAGATTCAAATATGTTCAATTTATGATCCAGGAGCAGGGTTGAACCACAATGAAAGTTTAAACGGATAGGAAAAACAACAACTAAAGTAAGTCAAGGACATATGTAAGCATCCTTAGTTAATATAGATTTAACTTAAGTTTGTTCAAATACTAGTAATACCACCACCCCGTTCCTTTTATGGCTAGATGGGGACCAATAAAGCCTGTCTATAATTATAATGAGCTGATTTTTGCATACTTTCTTTGTTACGGCTCTCGGGTGAGCGATGTGGCCCATGGACCTCTTGTTTAAAATCTTGGAGGGGCTATATACCAGGGGTAATTTCTTCTCTTTAACTTACAGGTTTAACCCAAAAGGTGGTATACTTCACATGATGAGTATTTGAACACATTGGTACAATGAATGCGTTTGCATGTAGTATCAAAGGTTACTATTACGTTAAAGGCACATAAAGCGTATTTAATGACCAGAATTATTATATTATATATAGTTACACTTAGCTATGTAAATCACAAGTTTCCTGAATTAAAAAAGCAGGAAGTTTACACCAGCTACAAGAATGCACGGCCATTTTTATGCTTTATACATTCAGAGAAGGCAGACTAAATTTCAAAAAAATGAAAGGGGTAGTGGATTTATCAAGTATATTTTGTTATTTTTTGAGGATATTAATTTTCTTTTATTTAGTCGATAGTGAGGAAGTATCTGGTATGTTTTCCTTTCCTTCCATTCTGCATGATTCAAGTGACCTGACAGTTTTATTATGGAATAGATGTTTACTTCTCTCTGTTTAAATATTCATTTATAAATAAGTATTCTTGTAGATTTCTTCGGTAATATTATAATTAAGAATTACATACCAGTATATGTAAAAAGTCACCTGTTTCTATATAAATCTACAAAATGCATTTATAATCTTTTGCAAATATGGTATATTTTAAAACTTTATGTTTTTAACTGTGACAATTTAAATTTATAATTTACTTGGAGGAAGGGGGCGTGATAAGTTTTTAGAACTTGTGCCCTATCCCTTTGTAGTTATAAATTACAATAAGGAAGGATATGGAGATAACGAACAGTATTCAATTTCAAACTCCATAAAACAATACAAAATAGAAGCAGAACAAATACGGACCTCCGAAACATCAGAGTGGGATCAGGTACCATGGAGGAGTGAGCATCTCCTACCGACGGGTCACAGCCGCCGTGTGCTCCTTGTCATGATCGGGAAATAACGGGAAAATCCGTCGTCAATTCAGTGTATAAATAATGGACTAGCAATTAGAATGAAAAACATCAGTCAGCTTTTGACTCAATGATAAATTGTATTTGCTGAAAAGGTCATTGTATCGACCATATAACTTACGAAATGATGATTTTAAACGAGATTTCAGATATTCTCGTTTCATCAACTTGCTTGTCAATGATTTACCTCGTTTTAGAAATTGTTCATAGGTAGAGCATGCTTTTGCGTATCGAATCAACTGAGATATATATACACTCCGTATGCAGGTGATGAAGGTATATTGCTGCATAAGTAAGGGAAGTTGACGATGGAAAAGTTAAAGTCATCACGTTTATCATATAGCTTGGTTGTTAGATTACCATCAACGTCTTTTTCAAGTAAAATATCCAAGTATGAAACAGATGTGTCAGACTCTGTAGTTTATTTTATCTCAAGCTCAACAGGATACTAGTATTTCGTATCGACGTAGGAATGGAAATTACCATTGTTAGTTGACAATACATCGTCGATATATCTAAATGTCGAGTTGAAGGCCACAGCAAGTGTTTTCTTCTTTTCACGCATAAGATTTTGCACAAATTCTTCTCCATATGAATATAAAAATAGGTCTTCTAATAACGGACAGCAATTGGTACCCATGCGAATTCCAATAGATTGTTGGAATACCTGGTCTCCAAATACACATAGATATTGTCAATCAGAAATTCATCAAGCATTTTTTTATGTCAACCTCAGAGTACTTGTGTGTGCAATCAGAATGTGTTTTAACAAAATAGTTTTGCAATTGACCAATGACCAGGTAAGTAAATTTACGAGTTCCATTTTTATTGAAAAAGCAGCTGTCAAGGTGAGAGACAAGTTGGTAGGGTCTGGACAGAGGACGCGAATTTACGAGTAAATATTTGTAAATAGAAAGAATACATGTCATTTTTATGCCCCCGTAATCGTAAAATTCGGGGGTACATATTTTTGTCCTGTCTGCTAGTCTGTTTATCTGATTGATTGCAAAAAAATTTAACCTTGTCAATAACTTTTGAGTGGGTGGGGCTATGGTTTTTACATGTATATTTCAAAGGTGTATTCCTTGTGAAAAGGCTTTATTTGGGTACCGCCGAATTTGACTCCTTGACCGTGTAGTTCGATTTACTTTTACAAAAAAAAAATTACCTCACGTTAACCTTTGCCATAACTTTTGACAGTTGGTTTATGGCGTTCATACTTCAACATGTATATTTAATGTGACAAGACCTTTCAATGAGTGTAAATATTTTTGAACTTGACCTAAGAGTTTGACTCATATAAAAAAATAACTTCAAACCATAACTTATGAAAAGTTAGCTTAAAGGCTTTCATATTTAACTAGTGCATGCCATGGGACAACGCCTTCCTTTGAATACTCTGAAATGGACATCAAAGAGATGCCTGAGTTTCTGATTGACAACATCTATGTGGTTTTTGGAGGCCAAGTCTTCCAACAATCTATTGGAATTCCCATAGGTACCAACTGCACCCCGTTATAAGCAGACGTAATTTTGTATTCATATGAAGCAGAATTTGTTAAAAATCTAGTACATGAAAAGAAGAAAACACTAGCTTGCTGTGGCCTTAAACTCGACTGTCAATCAGTCATTTCGATTCTAACAACCAAGCTTTATGATAAAAGTGACTACTTTAACTTTTCAATCGTCAACTTCCCTTACTTATGCAGCAATATACCTTCATCACCTGCATACAGAGTTTATGTCCCTCAGTAGATTCAATACACAAGAGCATGATCTACGTATCTAAAACGAGGTAAATTATTGACTAAAAAGTTAATTAAACAATATCAGCAGTCTCGTTTAAAGTCATCATTTCGTAAGTTCTATGGTCGATACAATGACCTTGTTAGCAAATACAATTTAGTCAAATGCCGACTGACTTTTTTCATTCTAATTTTTTTTCCATTATTTACACACTGAATTGACGACGGATTTTTCCGTTAATTCCCGATCATGACAAGGAGGACAAAGGATGATCAATCATCCATGGCACCTGATCCTATCTCTGATGTCTTGGAGGTTTTTGTTCACTCTGCTCCTTTTTTGTATTGTTTCATGGAATTATTCCCTGTTCAGAGTAATCTGTCCCGAAAAAAGTAAAAATGCAACATTATACATGCATTTGTCAATGTTTGAAAAGAAAGAGAGAGGAGAAATAACTTGTAAATAACGTAGCTATTTTTTTTTTACAGTGGAGAAATATTATGAAGAGGGCAAAAGCATAAGACTGGACTGCACTGTAAAGAATATTAACGAGGTAATGAAAAACACACACCAATTAAGCTCAGAAGTGCAAAACTTAAAGGGTTGAGGTTTAGTACGCGTTGGATATGTCTTATATTTTGTTTTCCACAATGGTCGTAATGATTTTAGGCTATGTGGCAGAAAGACGGACAAATTATAACATTTGGAAGTATTGTAATTTTTGACAAAAGAAGGATCTCAGTCGGCAGTAATTGGGCAACTGACTACAGCCTAGAGATAACACAAATGCTTAAGAAGGACAAAGGAAACTACACTTGCAAAAACAGGATGTCAAACAATGCAGATGCTTATTATAACTTAAAACTCAAAGGTAAATATTCATTATTTATACATTTCAACAGCGAAATACAAAGCTGCTGTAATTTATTCGTTAAATAAAATTATTTTTTACTGTGTATTTTTTACAGTGTCAGCAATTATCTTACAGTATTATCTAATTAGTAATTACTCAGTATCTAAGAATTCTCAGCACTTTTTTTCCATCCAAAAGGGCAAGTGAATCTTGTTTCTCCTAAATTATGCCCTTTTTTAAACACGTTGGATCAAGTGCCATGTGGAAGTAAACTTACAATGGGTGTTTCTCGCCTTGAAATGGTGATAGAAAAATAAACTCTTCACAATTCAGTGTGAAATAAGGGCGAAAAGTTTGTAATACTACAAAAATGTCAAACAACATTCGATTTATGGAAAAATTGTATTTGCTGACAAGGTCAGTGTATCTAGCATGGAATTTGCAAAGGACCACAGCACTTCTTTTTATAAACAAATTTTTGGACAAATTCTGCTTTTTATAAATACGAAAATGGGTCTGCTTATAACGAGAAACAATTATTATCCATGTGAAATCCGACGCATTGCTAGAAGACCATCTCCAAACAGTATTCAAGCCCAAAAGTCCATTAAACAACACAAATCAGGAGTAGATCAAACACAGACCTCTTTAACATCATAGCAAGGATAATGTGGAGGAGTAAGAATCCCCTGCCGACAGGTCTCACCGGCCGTGTCCTCCTTGTCATGATCGGGATATAACGGAAAACCCGACCTCTCAATTTTTGAATTATAAAATTGTAGTATGTATAAAACAACGTCAGTCAGCATTTTACTTAATGATCATTCTAGTAGATTGTATTTGCTGACAAGGTCATTGTATCGACCATAGAACTTAGGAAATGATGACTTCACACGAGACTCCTGAATTTCCTGTCTCATTAACTTCTTTGTCATCAACTTAGTTTCGTATTAGAAATTGTTTATACGTATAGAGCATGCTCTTGTGTATCGAATCAACAGAGATATAACCCCACACGAAGGCGATAAAAATATTATGCTGCATATTAAGTAATGGAAGATGACGTTTGAAAAGTAAAAGTCAATAACTTTATCACAAAGCTTGGTTGTTAGATTAACATTAACATCCATTTAGGTTATTTAGTTAAAGTGCATTATTTCTTTGAAAATCTTCTTTGCTCGTGGGTATTAAAATAATACACTTAATGTACAGCTTCGCGCACTCCTTACGCTCACGTTTTTTCGCACAAATTAAGGGTACTTAACACAAATAAAAATTTGATGCATGGATTGATATATATTTTTTGATTGATTTTGATTTGAAATGACATAAATACCAGTAATGAATGGTAAACATTATTCAGATTACCAATCTATGAGAAATATTGCTGATTTCTGAAAGAAAAGTTTGTGTTATTTATCCTTAATTCAGGTCAATTTCTTTTTGAAATAAAACTGAACTTCAGTTCTAGATATACTGGGTAACCCTAATATTTATCAAATATCTCATGTCAAAGGTACAAATTCTTTAAATCATTTTCTAAAGTTTTAAAAGTCGATGTTTTAAAGGTGACTTTACCTATAAATGGAATAATGTTACAACTGTATGATACTACCATAGATAATTACAAATTATATTAAACGAGCTTTCGTTGATACTATTGACATGTAGTTGAAATTTTCAAATGAACTTCTTGAAGATGAGTATGTTTTGAAGTACCTTGCACATACTCGTCCTGGTTTTGTCGAAATGTAGCGCCAAATTAACAATGCTGCATAAGGAAACCATGCTAAGGATCAATTTTATCAATGTGACGAAAAACAACGTGAAAAGTGCGTGGAGCTGTAAAGTTATAACGAAGAAGGGTGTCTCTTCCAAAATTGTGAATTTCATGGTCCCTGGGTCAGGGTATCTGGTGTTAGGATGGGGCTCTATTGATCAATTGGTGGAAATGTGTGGATTTTGTGAAAATGTATTAATTCTTTGAAAATCTCCTCCTCTGCTACGGGGTATTCCAGATGTAACCCATATAATTATAATGAGCATAGGCTTTTCTTCCAGCGATGTGAATTTCAAGGTTCATTGGACAAGGGTAGCGTAGCCGGTGTGTGCTCTGATGATTATGTACTGAAAATGAATTAATGCTTTGAAATCTGCTCCTTAGTATTAATCAATCATTTATGATGAGCAAGGATGCCTATCCCAAAATTTTGAAATGTGTGGCCCCAGGGTTAAGAGGTTCCTATGGGGTGGGGGCACTTCTGATTGAGAATTTTTCACTCATATGGAGACGCAACCAATTGCCGATGGAGGGCTACAATTTTTTTTCTATACTCGACACTTACGGCCATTGAGGTGTTTATACGGTCTCATCCAAAGGACCGGACTTCACGTCTTACGGTGGGATTCGAACCCACGACTTAAGGATATTTCTGATTATTGATGATTGTTGCTTATAACTGTGAAATCACTAATATTTGTGGGGGTTAATTTTCGTGATTTTCGAGGAATGAAGAGACCCGCGAATTTATGTCAACCACGAAATGTTATTTTTCACACATATTACTTGTCACAGTTCTTCATCACCGAAATTAAATCCCCACGAACCAGAAGTTCTTTCTCAAACAATAAAAATTTGACCCCACGAAAAAATGTGATTTTACAATAGCTAGAATGCAATTTTTTGTTCCCTTACATTGTCTTTGGCTATGAGGTAACCAAACTAAGCATTCTAAATTTATAGTTCTGATGAGTATCGGTGCCTCTTTCAAAATTGTAAATGTCATTGCCTCTGGTTTAAAACATGAACTAACATAATGCTCAGGTGACCTACAAGCGAATGAGCCTTTTATTACATTATTGACTTCAGAATTATAGTTCTTATAGTTACAATCAGAAATATAAATATAAAATAATTTTGGAAATGACCAATGACAAGGAACGTAAGTTCCATTTTTGCTGAAAAAGCAGATGTCAATGAAGTCAATAATCTTTGATTTTTTCGTGAGGAATGGTTGTATATAACGTTGAAAAGTCGTAAGTTTTTATGCTATTAATTTAGGGGAAAGTGCGATTTCAAATTATCGAAAAGATCTTGTAATTTTGAAGTATCCACATCTGATTTACACCACTGATCAAATATATTGCAGTACAGTGAAGATTCTTCTTAATATTTAAGTACGGAGTAAAAAAAAACTGGTAAAACATTTTCTGGAACCCGCTATGCATCTTTGTGTGTTGTGATTCTTTTATGTAATTTTGATAACAAAACAAATGACAATTTTAATTCAGTTTGATTGTGGGAATATGAAAAAAATATTTTAAAACTGACATGTGATTTTGTAAATACCTCATTTGAAATATAGTGTAATACAAAACTGAACCTTTTGATAATATAATTATATTATCAAAAGGTTTAGTTTTGTTTTACACTATATTTCAAGTTGAATTAACATCCTGTACGTATTTCCCACAGGTATCCAGACACAGTTGTTTCCAAACATTTCAACAAGAAACAAAGTACTTGAAAATGTAGACCTTAAAGTGATTATCTTAAAAGGGCCTAACTACAGGGATATTCGTTCTTTTAATTTGCTACAGAACTTCATTTTTGTTATGATTCAATTTTGTCGATCTTTAGGCTATAAATGAAAAGAAAGATTTGAATTCTTCGTTAGAATGGATTAAATGAATAAGAAATATATAAAAGAATTACATCAGAATTTGAAAAGGCAATATGCGAAACATCTATCATCTATCCATTCTTTTTCACTAAAGATTGATCAAATTGAGTAGAAAACAAAGATTATTTTAGTTAAACAAACCTATGTTTGGTTTCAGCCGACAAGGCTTGTAAAAAAAAATACGTACCGTTAATGTTTGCAAAGCTCATAGCTGTCACTATACCTGTATGTGGTTTTGAATCTTATTTTGGAAATTCTTCTTATACTCGCATCATAAAGATTTAAATTCATTTTCCAGTAAAAACAAAAAAATTTAAAAATTTTTACATTGCAGTGAATTAAGGTGTGATCGATCTACTTTATTTACATTGGATTCCTTAACTTCATAAAAATTCCTGGGTGCATATCATTACGGCTACATTTTCAAAACTGTCATTACCGCTACAAACACGTTACATTACCGCTACAATTAAAAGTATACATTACCGCTACATTGCCTATTTTATGTCGTTAGCCAACGTCTTATGCGTGTACATTTCAACATATGCATGTTTCCCTGCTTACCACAGTCAGGTAAAAACTTAGGACTTAGAGCAGGATGAGTATATTTTTTAATTTCTTATTTTAAAACTTCATACTCATTTTAATTGAAATTTAGATCCAAAATATACTTCGCTACATGCTGATTGAATTAAATTTAATATCACTATTTTCCATGCCATTGCTGGCCGATTTGGTTTGTAGGCATAGGTCCTTTTGATAAAATGTAGCGGTAATGATCGCCCAAAACCTGAGAAAATGTAGCGGTATTGAGTTGAAATTGTTCGCAATGTAGCGGTAATGTTGACCTCCTAAAATCCTTACACGGTCCACCATATTCTCTGCCTAGCCCCTTTCCTTACGCTTTACAAAATATCAACTGCTGTTAAGGAGAAGCTTTGAACATACTGTTTTACAGCATACTAGCATAGAACTAGTAAAAATCAAATGTGGATTTTCAAATACTCTAAAGAGCTTTTTAGAAAATTTAAAATCGTCATTTTTTTTTCAAAAGTAAAATAAAATCATTCGACTTCTTTATACTTTATATAACCATTCCGCACAATAAAGGATTTAAAACTAGGCTTTTTGACATCATATCCATTGCTTCTTCAAAAAAAAAAAAGGAAGTAAAAAAAATCTATATCTCGTAATCAACAAAATAACTTTGTTAAAGGTTACTCTTATTCTAAACACAAGTATCCTGAAGTTGAATTTGAATTAATTTTTTTTTAAAAACTCCGATACTAATATTCCCAATTTCAGCGGGGGACAACTTAAAACCAAAAGCCGTGAACCGTAAAATATTTAACCATTACATTTTATCACCAAAAAGAAAAGAAAGATAGGACATGAGACATTTCAGTTTTATATTAGAACAATCTTAAATTTTAGAAAGTGATAAATTAGACAAACCGTGAAAATGAATAAGTTATAATTACAAAAATTTGAGAAAATGTTCTTATATCTATTCCGTTTAAAGCCGGAGCATCAATTGAAGACAACATGTTCAGTGGACCTGAAGTGCGTGCCATGGAGAATGAGACTGTCATTCTTTGGTGCAATGCGTCTGGGTATCCAGTTCTTAGCGTCTCATGGTATGTTATTGAAGAGGATAGTATTCAAGAAGAGAAAATGACAGGTAGTATGAAAATTTCTTCAAAATTTATTAATAAATATACGTATACGTATGCTGTATTTGGAAGAATATCGCACAATTTATTATTTTTTTAATCTAATATATTGAGAAACAAAATCAACAGATATCATTTAACTATATATCTAATATCGGCCAGGTTTAGGAATAAATGGAAACATGCTTGGAATCCAAAGAGTGTCTCGCAGCTGTGCCTCAAAATTCCAGTGTCAAGCAGTGAGCACTTATAAGCCAGAAAAAATAGAGAAGAGGAATATTACCCTTATTGTTGATTGTAGGACACATTCAAAATTTTCTTGTTAATGTTACTTTAAACTATTGAGACAAAGTCTTAAAATAATACTGATGAACTGGACAAGGTTTTTAATATAGTTTTTAAAGACTAATAATTGGAAAATTTAAAAAGTGTATCATATTTTCTTCGAAGTTTCAGTTAAAAGTTCAATGTTATTGTCTCAAATTCCAAAATGTTTTCATTTCATTCAGAAACTATACAACAATATAAAAAATTAGAATAATAGTTCAAAATGATTAAGTCTTAAAGACTGACTTGTCACTTGTAATGACTTTCAGTCGTCAACTTCCCGTACTTATGCAGGAATATACCTTTGTTACCTGCATAGGGAGTTTATGTCTCTCAATTGATTCGATACGAAAGAACATGTTCTACGTATGAACAACTTCTAAAACGAAGTAACCCTAACAAAAAAATACTATAGTTAACTATAGTTAACTAAAGTTTACTATAGTTAACTATAGTTTACTATAGTTAACTACAGTTATAACTTTGACACTTTGAAGACTTTGATTTACGTTAGTGATAACTTTGACACTTTGAAAAACTTTGGCGAAAACTTTGACACTTTGAAAAACTTTGACGAAAACTCTGACACTTTGAAAAACTTTGGCAAAAACTTTGACATTCTGAAAAACTTTGGCGAAAACTTTGACACTTTGAAAAACTTTGGCGAAAACTTTGACACTTTGAAAAACTTTGGCGAAAACTTTGACACTTTGAAAAACTTTGGCGAAAATTTTGACACTTTGAAAAACTTTGGCGAAAACTTTGACACTTTGAAAAACTTTGACGAAAACTCTGACACTTTGAAAAACTTTGGCAAAAACTTTGACATTCTGAAAAACTTTGGCGAAAACTTTGACACTTTGAAAAACTTTGGCAAAAATTTTGACACTTTGAAAAACTTTGGCGAAAACTTTGACACTTTGAAAAACTTTGGCGAAAACTTTGATACCTCTAAAAACTTTATCGAAAACTTTGACCCTTCGAAAAACTTTATAGAAAACTTTGATACTTTAAATAACTTTAGCGAAATCTTTGACACTTTGGAAAACTTTAGTGAAAACTTTGACACTTTGAATAACTTTGGCGAAAACTTTGACACTTTGAAAAACTTTGGCAAAAACTTTGACACTTTGAAAAACTTTGGCGAAAACTTTGACACTTTGAAAAACTTTGGCGAAAACTTTGACACTTTGAAAAACTTTGGCGAAAACTTTGACACTTTGAAAAACTTTGGCGAAAACTTTGACGAAAACTTTGACACTTTGAAAAACTTTGGCAAAAAATTTGACACTTTGATTTACTATATTTAACTATAGTAAACTATAGTAATTTTTTGTTAGGGAAGTCATTGACAACAAGAACATCAGAAGTATCTTTTTAAGTCATCATTTCTTAAGTTCTATGATCGATACCATACAATGACCTTGTCAGCAAATACAATTTATCATTGAGTCAAATGCTGACTGACTTTTTTCATGCTGTTTTTTTAGACCATTATTTTCACGGTAAGTTGTCCACGGATATTTCCGTATTCCCCCGAACATTACAAGGAGCACACGGCGGGTGTGATCGGTGGGCAAGGGATACTCACTCCTCCATGGCACTTGATCACCCCTCTGATGTTTTGGAGGTCCGTGTTTGCTCCGCTTTTATTTTGTAATGTAATCATTTATGGAATTTCACTGACTTATCATTATAAAAACAATTTTCTGATTACTCTACTTCATGAGTTTGCATTCGGTTATAACTGTTATCCAGCTGAAACAAATGTTGTTTAAGAACTCAGTTACATACTTAATACACTAAAAGAATTCATGAAATGAGTTTTATGTCATTACCTTGAGAGGACATTCTGAACATTTTAATCATTTAATTTTTTCCCTAGTCTTTCCTGAGATGTCTGTGATTGGCTTCATAAACAACAAATCTTCAAGCAACATTCTATATGGAAGCACTTCAGAAACTGTAAAATTATCATGCACGGTATTTTCAAGTGAACCCTTCAACATAACATGGTTGAGTCAGAGAGATAAAAAAGAACTCGGATGGTATTCAAGTCAATCCGGCAAAAGTGAGTCGGCAGGCATTTATGGGTATTCCATAAAATCAAATATCAACCACAACGACAGAAGGATTGTTGAAGTCGTGCTTACAGTCCTACTGGACACTAACGACAGTTTTTCGAACTACAGTTGCAATGCGGAGAATAAACTGGGGCCTATTCTTAAGACTATTGAAACTAGGAAGAAAGAGTCTATGTAACAGCATTCTACAGTGGAAAATAAAGTTGGATCTGTTATTAAAAAACATTGAAACAAGATGATTCGATAACTACTGGGGTTTCAATCTTATTAAACAATCTGTATAATCCACTTTCTAAATTTCTTTAAATAATTTTTTTTTGTTGGTTTGAAAGTACCGGGCTACCTGGTATGTTTATGTACTCCATCTGTAAAATGGAATTGCGATGTACATTTTGCATGTTCCGTTAAACATTCTTGTTTTCCTTGTTCAACACTTTGTTTCGAATGCTTAATTGCAATATCATGTGTAAAAATAGATGCCTAGTTTTTAACTTTCCCTTAGTTTGATTTCTTTTTATCATACGCCATTTTGAAAGAATAAAACAGTGAACTATTTTTACTACTAATTAAATTATAAATACCGATAAATTCGGTTCAAAAAGAAATATCCCACGGTATACTAAAAAGTTTCTTTTTTGTTATGTGAGTGGGAAATGTCATTTCAAAAACGTGTATAAAATCAATTTCCGTGACATTCTAGCGTATGGAACGCCACAACTGTCTTATGTGTACAAAATGTGCATCATGGTGTCAGTTCGATATAAAATTAAGTCTAACCTTTATTGCTAGCGCTCTCGAGCGCTAGCAACTACGTTAGTCCAAATTCCTTGAATACGCATGCTCGGCTTTACGGTGGTGCATTCTGGGTATACTGTGAAAAATGGTGTTGTCGTGGTTACTAAAAATAGAAATTTCTGTGAAATTCTTTCGAAATGCTACTCCTCCTACAGTTTTGGTCCGATTTCAGTATAACTTGGCACACAAGTAGACTACACTAAGATACATAATTCTGTGCATCAGTTTTTGATTTCGATGAACGGTGTTGCCGTGGTTACTAAAAATAGAAATTTCTGTGAAATTCTTTCGAAATGCTACTCCTCCTACAGTTTTGGTCCAATTTCAATATTACTTGGGACACAAGTAGACTACACTAAGATACATAATTCTGTGCATCGGTTTTTGATTTCGATGAATGGTGTTGCCGTGGTTACTAAAAATAGAAATTTCTGTGAAATTCTTTCGAAATGCTACTCCTCCCACAGTTTTGGTCCAATTTCAATATTACTTGGCACACAAGTAGACTACACTAAGATACATAATTCTGTGCATGGGTTTTTTATTTCGGTTAACGGTGTTGCCGTGGTTACTAAAAATAGAAATTTCTGTGAAATTCTTTCTAAATGCTACTCCTCCTACAGTTTTGGTCTAATTTGAATATAACTTGGCACACAAGTAGACTACGCTAAGATACATAATTCTGTGCATCGGTTTTCGCTTTCGATGAACGGTGTTGCCATGGTTACTAAAAATAGAAATTTCTGAGAAATTCTTTTAAAATGCTACTCCTCCTACAGTTTTGGTCCGATTACAATATAATTGGCACACAAGTAGACTTTACTAAGATACATAATTCTGTGTATCGGTTTTTAGCTCTACTGGTCAGAGACCAGAAGAGCTTATGCAATAGTAAGGTGTCTGTCGTCCGTCCGTCTGTCTGTCTGTCTGTAAACAATCTCCTCCTACAGTTTTGGTCCGATTTCAATGTAACTTGGCACACAAGTAGACTACACTAAGACACATAATTCTGTGCATCGGTTTTTGATTTCGATGAATGGTGTTGCCGTGGTTACTAAAAATAGAATTTTCTGTGAAATTCCTTTAAAACACTACTCCTTCTACAGTTTTGGTCTGATTTCAATTTAACTTGGCACACAAGTAGACTACACTAAGATACATTAAATAGTGCATCGGTTTTTGAATTTGATGAATGATGTTGCTATTAGTACTAAAAATAGAAATGTCCGTGAAATTCCTTTAAAACATCACTCCTTCTACAGTTTTGGTCTGATTGCAATGGCTTCTTTTCTTATCCTTTGTTATAAGTACAAACCAGTAGAGCTACAGTCTCGACAGAGACTTCTGGTTTTATTTTCAACAATGGAAGATCGCAAATGAAAATGGTATCGTCATACAGCCTTCAATGTCTTATTTAATTAAATCCCGACTATATAATAAAACAATTACGGACTCTTTTGGTGTTGAATATGGTTTGTTATTCACCAGAAAAATATCCATATTGACCTAGGCTTCGCCGAGGACAATATGAATATTTTTCTGGTGAATAACAAACCATATTCAACACCAAAAGAGTCCATAATTGTATATTATTATACCTCATTATAAATATTCTAAACAACGCGTTATCTGATTGGTTCTAAGTAATCACGTGATCGGGCCGTAAAACTTCATATTTCCCGGCCGTCGGCACGCTTTTCATCATATTCCACCTCTTCGGAACACCTAGTGTATTTTCCCGCAATATAGTTTTCGTTCGTTGTACGAAAACTTTCGAGAGAAGTATGCGTCACAATAGCCTGGTTTACGTCACAAAACTGATGATAATGTGTTGACCAAAGGGTTTTATAATAACTTCACGTAAAAAATGAAAGTGAATTTGAGAGCGGTGCCGAATTGGAAAGTTTATGTTTATTTTAAAGCTAGTTTCGCTTGTTTCGGTGTAATAAACAATTCATTGCATGAATGTTCGGGAAACATGAAGACTTATTCAGCCAAGAAATATCATATTCCCCTCGGGCGAACTTTTATAACATTAAGTTCACTTTATATAATATGTAGTCTATTCTTTATATCATTAAGTCCACTTTATATATTATGTCGTCTATTCTTCATATCATTAAGTCCAGTTTATATAACATGTTGTCAATTCTTCATATCATTAAGTCCAGTTTATATAACATTTCGTCAATTCTTTATATCATTAAGTCCACTTTGTATTTATGTAGGCTATTCTTTAAACATATATCATTAAGTCCACTTTATATATTATGTTGTCAATTCATTATATCTTTAAGTCTACTATATATAACATGTCGTCGATTCTTCATATCATTAAGTCCACTTTATATATTATGTTGTCTATTTTTTATATCTTTAAGTCTACTTTATATATTATGTTGTCACTTCTTTATATCATTAAGTCCACTTTAAATAACATGTCGTCAATTCTTCATATCATTATGTCTACTATATATAATATGTCATCAATTCTTCATATCAAGTCCACTTTATATAACATGTCGTCAAATCTTTGAATCATCAAGTCCACTTTCTATAACATGTCGTCAATTTTCTTCATATCATTAAGTCCACTTTATATATTATGTTGGCTATTTTTATATCATTAAGTCTACTTTATATATTATGTTGTCTGTTCTTTATATCATTAAGTCCACTATATATAATATGTCGTCAATTCTTCATATCAAGTCCACTTTATATAACATGTCGTCAAATCTTTGAATCATCAAGTCCACTTTCTATAACATGTCGTCAATTTTCTTCATATCATTAAGTCCACTTTATATATTATGTTGGCTATTTTTATATCATTAAGTCTACTTTTTATATTATTTTGTCTATTCTTTATATCATCAAGTCTACTTTATATAATATGTCGTCAATTCTTCATATCATTAAGTCTACTTTTTATATTATTTTGTCTATTTTTTATATCATTTTGTCTACTTTATATATTATGTTGTCTATTCTTTATATCATTAAGTCCACTATATATAATATGTCGTCAATTCTTCATATCATTAAGTCTACTTTATATATTATGTTGTCTATTCTTTATATCATCAAGTCTACTTTATATAACATGTCGTCAAATCTTAATATCATTAAATCCACTTTATATATTATGTTGTCTATTTTTCATATCATTAAGTCCACTTTATATAATATGTCGTCTATTCTTTATTTCATTAAGTCTATTTTATATATTATGTTGTCTGTTCTTTATATCATTAAGTCAACTTTATATATTATGTAGTCTATGACTATATTCTTTATATCATTAAGTCCATTTATATATCATGTAGTCTGTTCTTTATATAATTAAGTCTTCTTTAGATAATATGTAATACACAAGCTTTATTATGGTGACAAATCGATATACTACAAAGTCAGATATATGCAGTCAAAAACTACCAGTTGATAATTAATACTTAGACAATTAATTATGACTTAATTACTTGATTATACAAATACTCAAAGGCAGGTAAGGTCGCACGTTTTCGGAAAAGCATAAATTAGACGACTATAGAAAAAAAAAAACCAACGTTAGGAATGCCTAGTTTACTTTCGAGAGAATTCCTTTTTAGCTCTTTGACAGGTCTTAAGAACATGACAGTTGATCTGTAATTGTTTACTCTTAGTATTAAAGCTGAAGGTAAGCTAATGCTAATACTCAGCTTACTTCTCATTGACTGGTTACTGGTACAAAGGTGCCATACGACTATTATATACGGCAGTATGAGATTGTAGTGGTACAATCAAGAGTGAGTACATATTTGAAGCAGCTATTAAACTCCTAGTCTTTGTAGTGAGTTTTTCATTATTGTTGGGAGTTTCTTACCTAATTTTGGTTTCCAATATTATTTAAAGACGCTGGGGAATTTGAGAAAAAAAATGCTTGAAACAACAATTAGTTCAAACCCTGCAGCTTCAAATGAAGAACGGGAAATGATAACCTTATAGATCCAAACTCTGCCACAATAATTATGTTTTCATGCACACTTCAAGAGAAAGGGGCTAAAAGCAAAATTAAAAGATAGGCGTATTTATCGTGTGATATGCAGGAACCATCTGTACTGAACAGTCGCCCGCGTGGGGCAGTAGTTAGAGTCTCTGTTTTAAAGTCGCAAAGTAAGGAGTTGATCTTTACGTCGCCGAATCGAAACCCACTGAGGGACGTGGAGACCGGTCCTTCGGATGAGACCGTATAAATCGCAGTCCCGTGTCGCAGAAGGTGCTGATACGAAAAAGATCCCTCACTGCTCAATGGCACAAATTTGTAGCTCTCCTCTGGCAAGTGGTGGCGTCTCCATATGAGTGAAAAATGCTCGAGAGGGACGTTAAATAATGTACAATCAATCAATCAATCGGATTCCTGTCAAATACAAATCAAAAGCGCCCTTGTTTTATCTGGAAAGATGGACATGAAAAAGAATATAGAGTTTCTATCAGTACATTTCCCCTTCAAGTATTTGTCTTATTAAATAATTAACTGTTGCATTGATTCTTTTAGAATTAATTATCAATTGTCAAAAATTATTGCGCCTGAGTACTCTCAGTCCTTTGATGAATTTCTAACTTTATTCTTGTATTTTGACTGGATGCTATATGCATCCGACTTAATAGTACATTGATTTATCAGCATGGTATAGCTCTAATGGATAGACAACATAATAA